CTGTCATCGCGCAGCTGCTGCTCCGTCCAGCCAGTCACACACAGTCCGTCGCATCGTCGACCACCTTCGATGTTTCTTCGTCTCCGAGCAGCCATGAACGAGCTCGAGCTCAAGCTTTCATGGTTGCCGACTTCGACCATGGCTTCGTCCAAACGAGCATCGTCGTTGCCACCAGTTGAGCAGCGTTGCTATTGCTGCTTCGTCCACCTGCTGATGCGTTCCTCGTCGTCGACCAGCCTGGCTCACGATCAAACAACTATCGTCCAGCCACTCCAACCCTCAACCAAACGTCCAAATCTAATTGTTTCTCTGTGTGTGCGACACTGTGCGAGTTTGCGACTGTTGCCTTCTTCCTCAGCTCCGTGCGACTGCTGCCTTCTTCCTCAGCTCGATTGTTCCACTTTCTGTCTTGATGATGAGTGATAAGAATCGTTCGATCGTCACTGCAACATGGTGCTTGAAAATGGTAAGGAAAATGTTAAGGAAACGTCAACCTGTTAACAAAGATAGGTTTATTAGCAAGATGTTCTTTCGTGGAGATTCTGTGATCATTGTCCTCCGAGTTTTTCGTTTCCGTTCGAGTTCATCGTTGCTCATTTCCGGTTAGTTGGTTTAAGTTTCGTTTTCCGTATTTTATTTTGATATTTTCGGATTTAAAATCGGTAAATGTTTGATTCTTGTTTTGTTCATGTATATCGTTGAATTAACTTTCTAGTTTGTTCATATGTTTTGTTGAATTAATTCATGTGTTTGTTCACGTATTTTGTTGATTGAATTAATTGTTTTTCAGTTTGTTTCATGTGTTTTTATTTATTTTTGTAAAAGAAATTGTTAGTTTAGTTTTAATGTTGTTAGTTTCAAAAAGAAAATTGCTAGTTTAATTTTAATGTTGTTAGATTCAAAAAAAGAAATTGTTAGTTTAATTTTAATGTTGTTAGATTCAAAAAAAAAGAAATTGTTAGTTTAATTTTAATGTGGTTAGATTCAAGTTTAAATTCATAATTGTTTCTTCTTCGGTTTTTTTTTTGTTATTTGTCTAAAAGAATTTAGTTGTAATAGGGAAATATGTTGGTTTAATCATTTGAATCCATCATGTTTTGTTGTTTAAAATAGATTTAATTCATGTTCATCTTTGTTTGAAAATCATTTTTAATCCAGTGATTTAATGTGAGTTTATGTTTTGGTTTTTGATTTGTTGATTTAGTTTGAATCATGTATTGTGTTGTTAATATTGTTGTTTCTTTGCTCATCCATGTTTGGTCTAAGTTAACCAGGATTGGTTCCCAATACGGTTAATTTATTCACATTAATTTGATGTTGTTCATCTGTGTTCATATGATTTGTTGTTGAATTTATTTAGAAATTGGTCATATTGGCTATATTTTGGTTGAGATTGATTAGGTGAATTGGTTGTAGCTGATGGGGGTAGTGTGGTAATTTGCAGTACGTTCAGGGGTAAAGTGGTAATTTCAGTAAGGGCAGAGGGTTATTTTTGGAATTAAAATTCTGAATAATTATTTACTTTGAGTGTTCTTTCCAGTAAAATTAAGATAATATTGAAATAATCAATAATGGCGGGACAAGATATAATGGTGGAGAATAATGCAATTGTTTAATATAAGCATGGGGGACAAGATATAATGAGGTATTTGTTTAATAAAGTGGGGGACAAAACATTAGATAGTGGGATTAAAAGGGGGATGAGTGGGAAGATAGTGGGTTTGGTAGGAGAAAGTGGTTGTTTTNCCACGACTTAATTAAAGTACATTCTTAAACTCGGGTGCGCATTTATGTGACCCAAATTCAAATCTCAACGGAGTCGGAATGNATAGTGGGATTAAAAGGGGGATGAGTGGGAAGATAGTGGGTTTGGTAGGAGAAAGTGGTTGTTTTGTTAATTGATTAAAGAGTTTGAGATGGGAAATAAATAGAGAGACTTGAATCAGATTTAAAAAAAAAAGACAGAATACAGAAGAAAATTTGAAGAGAGAGGAAATTCCGAAAAATACTAAGACTTTAGAAAATAAAAAGAAAAATATTCTGGAAATTCAAAAGAAGAAGAGTATACACCTGATATACAATCCAAATATTCTGATATACAGATTCAGAAATTAAGGGTTAAACACTAACTAGTCTTTCAAAATCTGAAAAGATTCCCTTTGCTTCTGTCCGTTGATTGTTGTTGTTGTTTCTGGATTTTTGTCTTGATTTTAAAATCTGTTACTAAGTTTCTCGTTGCTGGGGTTGTTGTTGTTGTATGCTACTGAATTTCTGTTGATCACCCTTTTCTTTTGCTTCCAATATCAGGTACACAACTGACACGCTGATTATTGTAAACTGAAACAGGAAGCNGGGGCGGGCGCGCAAAAAGGAGGTGTGACAGATTGGTTGGGAGATGGATTGACAGATTGGTAAAATTGATGCACTTTCAGCAGAATGAGCATCTGAGATGTTGATACCACTGACTGAAAGTGCAGCAATTGACCAAGCCAGTTCCATGTATCTGCAAAAAATAACAAACAAGTTAGTGAAATAAGACTCTATTTTTAGGTTCTTGTGAGGTCTGGAAATGAGCATTGGTGCATGAATGGGAATGGTATCTCTGCCTTTGATTGAGCAATTGTTTGCATTTTTTTGTGTTGGTTGCAGGCAGTTGTATGGTTGTTTTTGTGTTTGAGTGGGTGTAAAGTAGGTGGGGAAGTACATGTGCAGATATAAGGAACCTTATTGAGGCCTGGAGCTGGGACTGATGCTTTATTTTTGGTTTTTGTGGGATGTTCTACTATTATTTGACTGATGGTATTATTGCAGTGGTGGTGTGCTTAATCCAGTTGATATATTTTCATAGGAATGATCATCATGGATGATAATACCATACTCTGAATATAGATCGATTGGTTGAGCATGAGGAAGAAGATGGAACCTGCAAAAAGGAGAGCAGAGTTAGGTAAAATTTGAGCATTTCTGCCCAGATTTTTGGATTTGCTGATGTCATGAGGTTCAATGTTGTTTGCAATTAGGTTCTTGTGGATATTGATGCAACATGAATGAGGGTAGGTGACTATTGACTGGTGCCTATAGGTGTATGGTTAGTTATGTGGGTGTTTCTGTGGGTTCTTATGTTTGGAAGGAAAAAAGAGGGTGTTGTTGTGCTCGTTCATAGGTAGTGAAATGAGAGTGTATCTGTGGGGTCCTATTGTATGCCTTAGAGGGTGAACTTCCTTTTCTCTATAACCTATATCATTTTTTTGTTGTGATTCCAAGAGAATGAGCAAAAAGGCTAATACCATACCCTGAAACAACAACAAAGAGCTGTGTAGGTCATAGGAGAGAAAAACATGCAAAAGAACAAACCGAGTTAGTAAAAACTTCATGACTGCACAGTTCCACGGGAGGGAGGAACTGTTGTTATTGGTGCTGCCATACTCAATGGTAATTTGGACTATTGAGACTGTCCCACTATGTTGATCATGGTCGACCATAAGCATTAGAGTTGTCAAGAAGCATCTGTGGTGGTAATACCAAATATGTTTCAGCTGCAGTAACCTATTATGATGGAAGTCTAATTTTTCTGGTATTCTTGTGCCTGAATGTTGGGGTACCTAGAGAGTCCTGCAGGATCTGACCTCTTATGTGACTAGGTAGAAAGGAGAGTGAGGTATAATTGGTTAGAGTTGGTAGTTGATGCCTGAGCTTTGACAGAGAATCTGTAGGACAATTGGCTTCTCTATAGGTGTGTGAGCATATGAACTACTCACATTGTTGACAGCGATTTGAAAGATGTTGAAGTTTCATCTTCATGGACCAGGGAAAGCCTTTGCCATTATTTAACCATTGAACTAAGAGCGCAAAATCCGATTCCAAATGGATCTTAGAGAATCCATTACTCAAACACTATTGGGTACCTAAGAGAGCTGCTTCAATTTCTGCAAGGTTATTAGTACCTTCCCCTAAAGGTGCAGCAATGGCACGAATGAAACCACAGTTATGATCCCTAATAATCACCCCTACACCAATCTTTCCTGGGTTTGCGAGTGCACTCCCATCACTGTTGATCTTCACAAGGCCACAGATTGGCTTCTTCCAAACTACCTAGGTAGAGATGGTTTGATGTTGGAGGTTCTCAATAAAGGGGTATAACTCCTTCCAGTTGATGGGCCATTTGATTTCGGAAAAACTGGCTCGAACCAATAGGTTGATGTTAGAGTTAATGGAGAATAAAACTCTGGTCAAAGAGGGTAGTTTGGCTCTATGTTTGGCACTGCACCCATTCTTCCACAAATTTCAACATATTATGATAGGAAAGGTGTTTAAGATGAGTTTTTATACTTCATTGTGACTATTGGGAAGCCACCACTTCATCAGAAGTATTCGGAATGGCATGTCTTCAATTTGAATTCCAACTGGTCCTCTAAATTTCCTCCACACAATTCTAGCAAAGTTACCCACGCTAAATGTAAGCACGTGATTTTTGCTTCACGGACGATCACTCCAAACGAAAATAAAAAATAGTGACAAATGGCTTCGCTGCACAATTTTTCGATCTTTCCGTAACATGTG